CCCCAAAACCCCAAAACCCCAAAACCCCAAGAGTGATTATCATAAAAATTCGAGTAAAATTAAGAATTAAAATTGATAAATATTCTTGAAGTAATGGAAGTAAGAATTTCTCTTCATATAAATTATGATTAGGGAAGTGTAAAAAGAAATGAAACATCTCAAGCTGCTGTTCCCTCAGCAAACGACGAGGTAGCAAAGTTATAAGATAAGATAAAAAGACAGCAGGATAAATGTGTAAGTATTCCCATTAATTCTTTAATATACCAGAATATTGCATTTATAAATTCCTATTCATACACTAACGGCATATCAATAACATTTCAAATAGAAAGATGTCGATGAATAAATTAAAAAGATCTAAGATGACATTCTAAAGGAACGTAAAAATATGAACGGAATCACACCTTAAGAAAAGCATGCAAAACTTATCAAGGAAATTAAAAACTTGGAAAATCGATTGGACAAAGCTAATTAGAAATATAATTCAACTATTGCCTATAACAAAAATCTTAGAGATGAAATAGATACTCTAAGAAGAGAGCGTCTGGTATTTGAGTAAATATACAGTAAACTTACAAGCGATCTTGAGACTAAAAAGAAGGAAATGGAAAAGATAGTTAAAATAGCAAACACAGCAAACTAGGATCGAGAGTAGGCTACAAATGAACTTACTGAGTTGATCAAACAAGCCGAGGAGGAAAAGTTACACTTTGATTAATAGATAGCAATGGTAAATCAAAAGATTGAAAAAGAAAAGCAAATGAAGGAATTCATGAAGGCTAAAGAGAATGAATAAAATGAACTTGAAAGACTTTACAAAGAGACTAAGCATGAGGAAGAAATCAATATGAAGAGATAATCCTAAAAAGCATTTTGGGGTTTCTCAAATGATAAAGTGACAAGCATGATACCTGAGGAGAAATTGAATGAGTATTAGGAGGCATTTAATAGGATTGCAAAGGCAACAGGCGCAAAAGATATTGATGAATTAGTTAAGAATTTTATCGAAGCTGAGGAAAGAAATTTTACCTTGAGTAGATTTGTCAATGAACTTACACAAGAAACAGAATAATTAGATGTCCAGATTGAGCAGATTAAGAAAGAAATTGAACAATATAAAAACTAAGGTTTAGGAGAGAATAATGAGCGTAAGAAACTTCAAAAGGAATTAGAAGAGAAGATTTAAGAGAATGAAGAAGAGTACGAGAGAAATCTGCTAGAATATAAAGCCACAATAGAAAAGATTAACTCTATTAAATCTAGTATTGAGGAAATATTCTCACTTGTTGATAATGAAACCTCAAGAAAGTTCAAGGAGATTTAAGAATCATAGGGCTTGACTCAAGACAATATAATGATGTACCTAGGAATGGTTGAAGAAATGATAAATGAAATGATCAAGCAATATGCTTACTTGCTCGCACAAAAGCTAAAAGTCACCAAAGAGTTGGATGATGATGATCCAGTCATTGTAACCCTTCATAACATATTGATGGTTGCACCAAAAACTGAAAGTGGTAAATATGAACTAACAGTTAGTAAGAAAATCTAAATTTTTACTTTAATAAATTAATAGAGGATGAGATAGCTAAGGAAGAGGAGGATATATCCGGATACGATGAAGATGACAAGCCTCTTGGATATGAAGATTTTAAAAAGAGATTTCAGATAAAGCACTCACTCTATGGGAAGAAGGATGGTAGTAGCTAAGCTGTGGGAAACAGTGGAGCAAATAAATGAACCTAATAATTTAATCATAATATATAATTTTAGAAAAAGTAAATCTAATGTTGATGCAAAAATACTATGGCTTTAGGGGTTTTGGGGTTTTGGGGTTTTGGGG